TGCTGCGAACTGTCGCTGGTCCCAAGGTGCTGAGAATGAAGCTCAGCTCAATCCTATAAGCTCCTCTTGGTATCTGCCAGGCACTGGCACCGTGGCGGGCAGCAGGGAAACCACTGTGCCCTTCTCTACCCAGTACAAAGGGAGGCACCAAGGAAAGTCTGCTAGGAGGGAAAGGGCTGCTTCGGGTTACACCGTGCTCCTCATGCACCTAGCCGCCCCGATCAATTCTACCACAGTTTACCCAAGTCAGATCTCGTATCTGGAAAACTCTTCTGTAATTCATACCTCTAGTTCCAGCTCCCAGCAAAATCAGAACTGAATCGTCGTGCGCACACACACACTGAAGTCCAGGCTGCTAACGTGACTTTTGTATTACACTCCCACACCTGCTCTCAGAAGACCAGGCAATCTCACTTTGTCTATTTACTTCTGTTTCTCACTCTGTGTGGAGAGTCATGATTTCCACATCCAAGTTTTTATCTGCTAGGCTCAGGGAGCCCTGTGCAGTTTTCCAGACACAGTAGTATTCTGGCCTCCTGGCAAAAAGGGGTGGTTATCTTATGTCTCCTTGTCATTGTGACTGTTCCTGAAGGGCAGAAAGCAGTTTCTGAAAATACTTCCCTTATCATCCCCCGTGGCTAGGGGAAGTAATAGGCAGTCAAGCAAGTGCTTCTTGTACCAGCAGGTCCCTCCTCGGCTCCTACATCTCGGCAGGGATCTGAAGAATCCAAAAGCGGAGAAGACACTGTTCCTCCTTGCTAGGACCTTATGATTTTATAGGAGGTAGAGTTTAAAACTCCCAATGTCAAGTTACCTGACACTGACAGTAAGAAATCAACTGCGCAATCTTAAAACTACAGGAAATCGAAAGGCCACACAACCCAAGCTTTCCCCAAGCAGAAATCAACACCTGGTCAGACTGTGAACCTTCTGCCTGAATGTGGGTCTCACATCTCACTAAGAAGTTCATTTAATTTTTCAGTCTTTTGTTGCTAGAATATTTTGTCCTAATGTGAATTAAAACTTACTTCTTATTCCATGCAGCAGCAATCTTCAAAACTTTTAAATTTTTAACCAATGTAATACGCCTTTGAAAGAAATATCAGACACACATAGAGAAAGCAGCTACAAGTGGAACCCTTCTGTTGGTAGCTACAGGAGGCACCCAGCAGTCTACCAGTCTCCTCCACTACCCCCTGCAGCTCCAGGCTCACCACAAAATCCACGGCTTTAAAGGTAATTGGAGTCAATCCAGTCCCAGCAGCACATGTCAGCCCTTGAAAACCGCTCTCTTGGCTCTTTTGAAATCTTCTTTTTTTATTAAACTTGCCGGTTTCAAACCGTCTACTCTCTTTAGTTTCCCTCATATCTTCCCATCCTAACCATTCTCCTTCAAAAAGTCAAAACTATATTCGAACATAATCCTTTCAATGTTGTGACCAGCTGAGGACACAGCCTCTCTTACGATCTGGACACAAGGACTACTTGAAGAGGATTCGGTGAATAAAGAAGGACCTGAGCTGGACCTTGAAAAGTAAGGGCTTAGAGGAAGAAGACAAAATTCCAGGCTAGGACCTCCTGTGAACAGAGACGCGGAAAGTAACTCAAGGGCCTGCTGATGGACTCTGGCCACTTACTTCTCTTCCAGACACTTAGGGGTTCTTTTTCATTCAGCCACCTGCTCACTCTTACTTATTTTGCAGAAGAAAATTAAACCAGATCTTATCTCTAAGAATGCAGGCTTTTTTTGTGCTGGGATCAAATTAGTGAAATGATCTGATCACTATGAAAATTGGGTCACTTTGGCATTCTAGCCATGGGAGAAACAGTACTTGATGAAGACGCTTGATAAGTCTGTAAAAAAACTGTGTTATCTTTCAATGAGTCAACATCTTGGCAGGAAGATTCATAAAGGTCATAATGCTATGGAAGCACATCCCTGGAAATTCTCAGATCTAACACCAACCCAAAGAACACCTTATCTGCACACAATTATCTTTCCTTTCTTATTTCTCAAGCCACAGGTAATAATACAGTCCACGTGGACTGTGAAAACACTTTCATACAGATGAATGCTCACACTCTGAAGCAACACTTTCTGAGAAAGCAAACAGGAGCAAGGTTTCTCCAGAAGTATGTTTGTCATAACACACTTCCTCACGCTGCTGGGCTTTACTGTTTACAGACAGAGAATTCAAGCAGAGCACTGTTTCATACAATTTGGTTTTGCATTCAAGAAGAAAGATTTTAAAGATAGCTTTTTTCTCTTAAGACGTGTTCTCCTAGTGACTATATGAGTACTCACATTGTAAGAATGGGAATTTCATATAGCACTCTCAGACTTGGGAAAACTGACCTTGTCCTAAATTTTAATATGCATTATTAACCTAAGGATTTTAAGGCATTAAAAAAAACTGTTCTTACTAGCATTCAGAATAATTGATTCAGACATTTTATTTCCATTATTTTCTCTTTTTCCTTCATCTCAAAAGGAGGTAATCTGAATTGCTCTAATCTGAAAAACAACAATAAGTGTAGCAAATACTTGACAATGAAGATGAAAAGCCTCTAAAAATCTGTTACCTTAGTAACAGCAAGAATGTGGAAGAATAAGAATACACTGTCAGGACATCATTTCAGATTCCACAGATTTGAGGCCTAAATACAGTCAGCTTTCATTAGCTTTTTGTTTTTCCCAGCAGGTCCTTGGACTTTGAAACAAAACCTGAATGACAGCTATGAGCAATTCCAGCCTGGCTCCTGATTAGCTATGCCAAACAAAACAACTCTCTGCAGTGTAAACTTTCCAGGCATCTGCAACCAAGCCTCTGTAGAGACTATAATTCCTCAGTGAGATTTGGGGGCGCGGGGGAGGGGATAAAACCTTCCCTTCCACCTCGAACTATTTCCCTGGACTAGTCTCTAATTAAAGCAGGGCAGAAAATAAAAGCAGAACTAGCTTTGGTGTGTCTGTAACTTCTAATTCTGCCCTATTTTTCCAATTAACATTCATAACATCTGTAACACCCGTGCATCCAAACCACACATGCATTCTGCATTTAAACCAAACAGCCACTTCTGAGACCTGATTCATATCAAGTAGAGCAAATAGCTGATTAAAGAGAACCAAAAGAGAAGAAGAATATGACTGGATAGTGCCCCAATGGATGCAGGCTAAGATTTTGTATCTTTTGTTGTCATTCACTTTTGCTGAATGTGACCCAAAATTAATTATAGCAAGTGACACAGAACTGTGTCGTTTGGCCCCATCTGCTACATAGCTCCCCGAGGAGCTAACTATTAAGCTTTTCTCTTATGATCAGGCGGCTTGATAGCACCTACAGAGTATACCTTTATGTTCACAAAAGAATCAAAGATTAGATCCCAAAGCAGTCAGTTCTAATCAGGTGCTTGTCTTTAAAATTATAAGTGGTTTTAGAAAAAGTTATCTGCAGAAAATTCTGTTCCGAAGTATTAAGAGGTAATTCAGCTATATGGAGATAAAAGTTAAACTCAAAGTTTGGTTTTAACTACAGCCCACCAATCTTTTCAGAAGTAAAAACAGTTGCATTTTTTGGCCACAAGTAAAATGGTAGCATTGAAGTTCACCTTTGTCTTCTAAAAAGTGGCATTTAACCTCACTCTGATCTCTACTGCTTCTGAGATAACCTATAGAAACTGACAGCTGACTTACTTGGAATGTTAGTTGATCAAGTTTCCCTATTTCTAGCCAATGACAAAAACAAAACGGTGTCATGATCATTAGGCAGCCTACAGGGTAAGAAAAACAAATCTAATGTCCTAAAATATAATTTGCAGATATATGGCAACAAATGTCACAGGAAACTTGCTACTTAGCCACATCATAAAATCCTTACTTAGATATAAGACAAAAGCAAACTTAAATCATTACAGGTTCAAAAGGAAGACTCAAGCTCGACCTAAAAGAAGATCTATGGATAGAGATTCCTCAAAAATCAGAATCAGGGACATATTAATGTTAGAAACTAAAGACAAGAAAAATATGGATGTTTAAGAAGTTAGTAACATCTGGGAAAGCTACATTCCCATTTTTAAAAATTCAATGTATCTGTAAAACTACCATTTTATTGTAAAACAGACAAATAAACAAACAAAAAACCAGAATCTTAAAATATCTTTTGTAATTGATGAAGACAAGGATAGAAAACCCCTAAATATGAGTGTATGTTCTCAATTCCAAACCAAACCTGCTGATTCAGCACAAAGTCATCAACAGAGTTCTTATCTGTGAGAGGGACAGTCCATTGTCCGACTGAAACAAAGGGCAGTGCACAGGAAATCAGCCAAATCTGGGCCAGATGGTCACTGATTCAAGTTTCATTCTCCCCACCCCCACTCACCCTGGCACTCCAAAAATAGATTTAGATAGCATTTTTGGTTACCAGGTAATTACCCTGAGTGTGAGCCACAAAAAATTACCTACATCCCCCTCTCCACCACCAATGAATTTGTCAAATATCCTTATAAAAAGTTAAGCAAGGAGAACGTTGCTGTGCAGAGAAATACCACAAAGCCCACTGTCTGTTTCTCGGGCATAGTGTGAAGTTTTACCAGATGGAATGATTTAAAATATTTATGCTAATTTGTTCTCATCTACTGCTTTTCGCAAGCCATGACACAAAATAGAATGGAACCCAGAGAAAACTGACCTATCCCAGTTTTCTGTAGGTTGGTATCACCTTCCAAAGGGATTCCTGGTTTGTAACCTAGAAACATTTTCAAAACTACCAAGAAGCTACAAAAAAACCAACTGTGATAAATAGCAACACTAATTTCCTAATCGTATTAAAAAGCATACACATTTTGTTACAAAATATGTGTCTTAGACTACAGAGGCTTTGATCTAAATAGTAAAGTAGGACACTGTTTTCTTTATCTAAAAATAAAAGTAACCATTTGAAAAAGTAAAGGTATAAATCATAGGACTGTACTTTTTACAAAGTATTCATAGACTTTACCTGGATTGAAGAAACTCCACAGGTCCTGCACAAGAGAGAAAGACTGATTTTCAGAGTTCACTTTCTCCAAGCCTCAGGAGTTTAGAGGAGCAGAGGGAAGCTGGGGAAGGAACAAAAAGAGATTTGTGCTTGAGGGGAGGGGTACTTCTAAGAATGGTACTAATATTCCTGTTCTCAAGGAAAATGCCTCCTCAGAGTCCACTGGGATTACACAAAAAAAATGGAAGGAAAAATCATGGCTGTTGGTTACAAATCCATGAGTGTGATCTCATGCAATAAAATTTATAAATTAAAATATCGCTATAAACACATTTCACACCTCTCCTGGGTACTGTAAACCTCAGTTATAATTTCCAAATGGCACCTATTCATCACAGTAAAACATGTACAACTATGTCAATGATTTAAGTAATAACTCTGCAAGCACTCAATAGAAACTTGTATATTATAAAGACATATGCGAAGATTTGAAACCTCTCAGAAATGTTCAGACGATATACCTTTATTTTTCCTATTAAAAATATTTGGTCCTTTCTTTAAAGGGAATCCTTGATTCTATGGAGGTTCCTTAAGAAATATTTACACTTATAAGGCTTAAGTAAGTTTTATCTACCAACAAATGGCAATCCCTTTAGTAAACTTTATAAATCTTTTTCATAATTAGTTCAGATATGTCAATTTAGGAGTATATTTTATTGGCATGCTACAGTATAATTTTTCAAAAATTTACACATAGAAAGGTTAGGGCAAATAAAACAGATTTTTGGTTCTATTTGTTTATTTAGCACAAGACAATCACAGGATGGTAAAGCAATGACTAAAGACAAAAATTACTTTAAACTATGCAATTGACAGCAACTCTCAAATATGGTCTGCTTTATTGCAGAGAAGTAAAAAGGCTCTAAAGAGCCCAGCCTAGGCACTTTAGCAATTTAGTATGACCCTGAATTGAAATAAAACATTAATATGCCTGGGATGGTTAGGGTAGTCCAGCTGCCTGTGTGTGTCTTTCATTTAAATGTAAATTTATCTTAGAAACTCTAAAGATGAGCTCAGAAGGTGGAGAATTGTAATGTAGCTCAGTGCAAAGGCCCTGGGTTCAATTCCCAGTACAAAAAAAAAGCTGTTACCAGCAACAGAAGGTAACCTTCATGAAGTGAACACTCATGGCCATATTTACAATGCCAAGGATGACTACAAAATAAAACACAAAGACAGAGCTTGGAATCTGGACCTGTTTTAAACAGGATAGAGACAAATGGAAACTTTCTCAAAAACCTGCCTGCAAAAAATTGCTACTAGAAGCTAACTTATCATTATAGTATCAGACTACATCTTAATCAGTGGCTACAAACATACGTATAGAGGATATAGATATACGGATGTGCTGTAAGGGTGTCAAGTGTATTTTTGCTGCCTTCATTGGTAGTTTTTTTAGCATCTCAGATTTATTTATTTTAACGTATTTCTATAACCTGATCTCTGGTTAAAACACTATTGTTTTTCTTTATACAGTTAAATAACATAATATGCAGCATCACAGTGGGCAGTGACTTGTTACAAATACTTTTATTACCTACATTAATTTTTTGATAGAATTATATAATCTTAAAAAACTGCTAATGGATAATCCACTAAGAATCTGTAAAAAAAGGCAGTTGAATATTGAGTGTTTTTTTCCTTAGTGTAAATCAGGGATTTCTGTATTCTTGAAAATTAAAGAAAAGGACTATTGACATTAAAATTCTCTACCTTCTGAGCTCATCTTTAGAATCTGCAAGATAAATTTACATTTAAATGAAACCCACACAAAGGCAGCTGGACTACCATAACCATCCCACACACATTAATGTTCTCAGAGATCTAAACCTTTGCCTCCTAGGAAAAAGAAAATTGTGACCATACAACTACTTTTGATCATCAACTTGATATATCATTTGGATAGGATTTATGTGTTAAAATGCTCTTATTTTATGTAAGAGTTAAAGGAAAAGTATAAAGTCAAAGTGTAAATCAAAATACTAACAAAATTCTATGAAAAACAGACAATCCATTCACATCAGTTCCTAGAAAACTAGGTCTTAAATAAAAACTATATCAACAATAATAAATGAGTACATAAATGTAATGAGCTAGAATTTAGCAGACTAGTTTATGATGTCTTTCTTTGATGTGTCCTAATTGAAAAGACTAAAAGAGTTTAAAGCTAAAATATTATTGTATTAGTATTGAGTTCTAATTATCTTTTGTCTTTTTTTTCTTCATAACCTATATTTTCCTTTATGGTGGTCCACAAATGCAGCACAAAATATAATCTCATTCAATTAAGACAAAATTTGCCTAAAATATTTTTGATAAATACAGCACTGATTTCATCTTCCTTCTAAACACAGCACATAAATAAGGAGAAACATATCAAGGCTCAAATCACAGTACACCTAATTTTCACTGAGGACAAATTGTGAAGAATATAAATTTCTGAAGGGTGAATTATATTTACAAGAAAATACTTGAACATCTATGCTTTAAATGTTTATTAATATTAACTACTACTACGTATTGCATTAATATTCAGAAGAATATTAATGTATCAAATCATCTCAAATAATTACAAATGTACTTTAAACAGTCTGCAGGTTAAAAGGAGCTTTCCGTTCATTTTCAGTCTCATAATTTCACACACTTTAAGTTTGCTATATTAAAAAATGATATGTTGAGATCTTTCTTTTTTTTTGGTACCAGAAACAAACTCAGGACCTTGTACCCCATTGAACTACACTCCTGGGCCTGTGTGTAAGCTGAATAATGATCATACACACTTCCCTCCCCTTTCTCTTAATACTCATGAAGTGTCACTAACAAATGTAAACATTCACAGCATGATTTCCTTAACACTGCTGACACTGCTTCAGATTTTACATCGGATGCCTCCTGCACAAGTTTAGAACATCTTTTGGCTTAAAAGAATAAAGCGGACATTAAAACTTCACTTAGATATTAGTTCAATTAAACATTTTACAGTTTTCATACTGGGAACAGAACAACAACATACTTGCATATGACCTTAAACCCTTTTACTACACAGTAACAGTTTAAGGAATATGGTTTGAATAAAATGAGATCTGCATCTACAAAACCACAAGCTACACTTACTGCATTCTGACTACACTGTAGTCTCCTCCGGGGCACAGATGGCTCGTTATTTTCCTTTCTCTTTGCCCACAGCCTCTGTTCCACTTATAAGTACCTAACACAGACTTGCTGACATATTTATTGTTAATTTCCTGCTCAACAGAGAATTCTATTATCAGATTATGAACCTCTTGCTTCGTAGGATTATGAAGAGAAAAATCATTTTCAAGGAAGTGACAAACATATTTAATAATTATGTCTTTCTCCAAATGAAAGTTGCGAGCCAGTTGTAGTGGTGCATAGTAATATGAGCACTCTGGGAGGCTGAGGCAGGAAGATCTCAAGTGCAAGCCCAGCCCAGACAATTTAGCAAGTTAGTGAAACCTTGCCTCAAACAAACAACAAACAAATAAAATACACAGTGACAGTTTGGTATTATGATTACTATTACCAATTATGACTTTCAAACCTTTAAAATCAGTGCAGATTAAACACAAACATCAATCTAAGAATTATGGCAAATGTTGGTCTATTTACAATACACGAATATCAATAAACCACATGGAGATGTCTGAAATTTCTTATAAGACAGTTTCTAACTGTTCTGATTTTGGAAGTTTTATCAATTTAAAACCTACTAAACCATGTGGTTTATAAAACCTCAATTTCATGGTTCCATTCTAGTAGGAAGCATTATCCCTACAAACAGTGCATTCAGTAACCTTTTTTTAAAACTCGGATTTTTTTTTTTTTTTTGAGATAGCGTCTTGCTGTGTTGCCCAAGACTGGCCCCAAATCTCCTGCTATCCCCATGCCTCGAGGCCTCCTAAGTGCAGGTACTCTTCCTTTAATGACCAGTTCACTCCTGCAACTGGTTGTTAACTGAATTGGTGGATAAATGAGGAATTGTACACAGTATGTACAATACAATATTCAGAACAAACAAAGGAGCAAAGGAAACTCCAACTTGACTTTGCTTTGCATACCTCTTACACGCAGTACTGTAGTGTATAACAAAACATAAACCTGCAGCGCTGTACCACACAGTACAATCAGAAAAAAGTTACTGCACTGCATAAAGTGGACTGTAAAGAACAAAAGACAAGACATTGGGGCTCTATCAACAAGATATATACAACTATATAAAAAAAACCCCGATGGGTCATAAATTGGAGCAATGGATCTCAAATCCAAACAGCGCACCTCCGTGGTAAATCCAAATAGTTGTTAGATAGGCAGATCATGGAACAAGGTGTGTCTGTATTAGACATCACATTGTCAATGTACTTTAGCAAAGATGATTTGTTCTTCCTAAAAGCACATGGCCTCCAGTAACCATTAAAATAAAATACAGCAGCCAAGCCGGGTGTGGTGGCACACGCCTGCAATCCCTGGAGGCTGAGTGAGGAAGATTGCTGCAAGTTTAAGGACAGCCTGATCTGCACAGTGAAACTCTGTCTCAAAAAGGCAAAAATAAATAAATAAATAAATAAATAAATAAATAAATAAATAAATAAAATACAATACAGCAGCCACATCCAATCATCGCATCAGCTGGTTCAGGTAATACTGATCCTGCACATGTCAGAAAAGCAGGGATGAAAATGATTCAGAAAATCCAGCACACCTTAAGATACAGCAGTGATGCAGAAAGTGCTTATCCGTAGTCATCACTGCAAAAGAGGTGCAGCCCAGATATGCTCACTAGGAGATCAATCAAGCGTCTACTCCTGCATCTCCTCACATGCCCTTTGCTGGCATCTTGGCAGCATCTATGAATCCGTCTGGGTCACACTGGTCACACAGCTGATCCTGCCGGAAGCTGTTCTGAATGTGCCATTCTGGCTCACTAGTGAAGCAGCTTCTGCAGGTCACTGCAAGGGACTCACAAAACTTAAACTATTGCAAATAAGACAGCACAGAACCATGAACTGCCGGACTCTGTAAAAACCACTAGAAATGCCGAAT